GATTCGGAATCCTTTGAAATTATCTTGGGTCCTTTAAAATTAACCATATATTGAAAAAAAATTTAATTATACTCAAATAAAGTTTTTTTAAATATATTTTAATAGTGTAAACAACCCAGGTCTTTATCGCCTTATTTCATTAATGATTAAATCCTATTTTCCGATTTCACACGTTTCAGAAAATAAAAAGTTTGTCAATGACATTCGTCTTGCCTTTTAAAATTATATGTAGGTCGTTCGGAATGTCAAGAGCTATTCTATATGGTTCGTAAGCTCGGCATCTTGTTAAAATGTTTTACACTCAGTGGAGTCCTACAATTTTGACAGGTGGGCGAAGAATCACCGACCACCAAATATCTATCTCAATCTGAGGGTCAAGGGTGTGTGACCTATGCGCAGGCGCGTGAGGCACACTTCCTCTCTGCTATTATTTCTATTCGTCTAATAAAAGTTACATTTCTCCTTTTTTTTTTCAGATTTTTTTTGGGGATGTGCTTATTTTTCACACCTGAAGGAGAATTAATTTGAGTTCAAAATAATACACAAAAATATGTCAACAAATTATAATTGTTTGTGTCTTACTGACTATACTTTGTTTTGACTGTAGGGGGGAGGAGTATTCATGTAACTTGTTGTAAGTATTGTAAACTTCCTGAATGTGGTAAAGTCTGCAACTTATTTAAGATATCTGTTAAATATGGACGCTAGCACACTCGATTTTAAATAGGTCTGGATCAGGGGCGCCCAGAGGGGGTTTTATGACACAAGTAGTGCCATCAAAATTTTTGAGAGGGGTATATTTTAACGGATTTTTGAGGGGACACATTTCAACGGGGTAATGCGTTTTCGGAATTAAAAGTTACAGAATAAGCGGCAAGGAAAAAATATGGAACAGACATCTGCAAGTGTAATTGTGGATGATCTCCGATTCGTCTAATTCTACTTTCTCTTGCTCTGTTCTAAGAAAAGTTGAGCAATAAAATATCTTGGGAGATAGCCCTGAAGCCAATCCATTTTTCACAAAAATGGAGCTTTTGGGTGCCATCAAAGCAAACTCTCCACCAAACCATTACTGAGGAAGGGTGATGACCTCTTTCCACTCTCCAAATGACTTTCTGGGCTTCTTTAGAGATCATTTTGGCGATTAAATTTTGTTTCAATTGTAAGAAGTTTCTCATAGCTAATCAAATCTTTCGATGAAGACTATTGGTGTAACGGCCAAGGAGCACATTGCATCTAGCCACTCTAATTTTTTTTTAGGGAAGTGGTTAGCCATTGTCCTTTTCTTCGAAATGCACCCATCCTAAAGTCACTTTTTATTACGAGAGACAAGAGAGATAAGGATTATCTAAATAAAACCCAAGGATGTAAACAAAGTTCAACTTTTGTAACAGTATTTTTGGCAGAACTAGGTACTCTTTCCTCATTATAAGCATTGTTCATATTGCTACGGAATGTTATGCTGGTACTGGTACAGGTGGGGGAACTTAGTCCGGCTAGTGGGCCTATTGGTCCTTTTTGCCATGTTATGCTACTCAACAAATAAAAATTAAAAACAACTTATACTTATAATTCGAAGTAGACTGTCCTCTATCTTTGGACATCATTGGTCGACAGTACGACTACTTTGTTTTGTATGAACATTGGCTTTTTTCTAATTAGTAGTAGTAAGAAAGACAACGATATGCAATTTATAGGAATATGAGGAGGGAGAGGTACACGATTTAGAATAATTCATTGATAGTAATAAAAACAAAATATGTGTACAGATTGTTATAAGTATCTTTGCTAATAATGGTTTGCATTTTTTTTTTTTTTTTTTTTTTTTTTTGTATAGTGGGAAATTTACTGAACCTTTTAAATAACAATAGGTGCACTCCACCATAAGTTTTTTCTCTGACTTTTTCCTCTTAAGTTTTTCGTTAAAAATTTGCGGGGATGTCAATTTTTCCCACTCGAAAGAGAAGATAATCTTCAAATTGAGGGCTCAATTATTGGATTTGATGAAGAATTTACGAAGATATGGCGTACCGACAAAAAACCACCTTTGAGAACAAATATATAAAGACGACAATTGAAAAGAAAGACGTCAGTTGCGTTACATACCCTGTAACATGAGATTGACGACATGGTTTTTGAGAATAATAATACGCTGTTTGGCTTACGAGTTATTAATCATGAAGTTATTTCAACCGCCTAACTGAATCACATTTCTTCACCTTGACTTGTAAAACTTCTCATCGGCTATTTTTCCTCATAAAACGCCTTGCACGGAAAAAGTATTGCCTCCTGAAATTCTGACAGATTTAATATTGTTTATGACACATAAAAATATGATGTTTCTCGAGAACTAGTCATTTTCATGATTCATTGACACAGTAAAAGCAGACACCTAAAGCTAATAAAGGAATGATTCACACAAAATACCTATTAGTCCGTGGATCATAAAAAACCTGTACCACTACAACCTATGAAGGGTCTTGGGTGCAGCACGGGCGGATCTACGGGGGGGAGGCTTTGGGACTGAAGCCCCCAGCCCCAAAATGGTAAAATATAACCATGTTTTATGGAAAAAAAAAATTTTAAATTATCTCTTAAAGTATTATTATTCGTGTAATTACATTTAAAAGGACTTTAGGAATCACTTTCATACAGGTATTTAGTTGTTTATTTTTTTCTAACGTAATTATTGTTATTTTTATAAAGAAAAAAAAACGGTCGGCCTGAAGCCCTCCCCCCAAAAATTAAATCCTGGATCCGCTAGTGAGGTCCAATACTATGTGAGGAAGTACTGTTACAAGGCCAACTGTTGTGCAGGAAGGTGATGGGGCCGATATCACTCTCAACCGCCAGGTTTCAACCTTAATTATTTTTCTAATTAAGAGTACCCATTTAATAGAGACTGGATGTGCCTCAGGAGTGTCTCCCGACCCTTGGGTCGATCCACTGCTAATGAAAAATTACTAGTCATTTGCCGGATTCGAACCTAAGACCTTGAGTCCATGGTACATATACATTTTTATTAAATTATTAACATCCAGCTAAAACTTCGTGAATGTCTTCATCTCATCATAACCTAATAAATTTTTAATCTAAGAAAATTCTCAGAAATGGGGCGTTTTCTCATTAAATTATTTGATTGAATTAGATATTAAAAAACTCACCAATACTCATTTGCTTTCCACTTGAATCGTAAGATAATCTGATCACAAAATTTTTAGAGAGAAGTGGCGATTTGAAGAGGTTAACAAGACTATAATAAGCTCTATTTCCTACCATGATCCGTTTTCTAGTCTGTTCAATCTCCTTATTTTCATAATTAATATTTACACTTCCCCCTAGGCGTCTGAAAAGAAGATGGCCTCGTGATCTTACCTAGAATTAAATAGGGAGTGCTACCACTGAGCAATATCTCTTCAAGTCTGTTCATGTCATTATTTCTAATGTGCGCATTTTTATTTGTTGTATTGTTTATACAGTTGTAAATTTCATGAAATAAACTAAACAAAACAAAAAAATATTTGACTTCTGATTTGACTGATCACCCCAACTATTCTTCTTCTCAAAAAGATATTTACACTAAGATAGGATAAAGTGGTCAACTGCTTCAAATGAAAAATCATTAAACTGGAAATCGGCCAATGTTCTTGTTCCAGATGCAGACACCAACATGTACTTAGGCATTGATTCATTCATCTTTAATGAAAATTTAAGCCTACCTTTTTACAATCGGGCAGTAGTTTAGTGAGAACTTCCTTTATCGCTCGTTCTGTTCTTCCAAGAATCACAAGGTCATTTTCATATCCCAGACTCCGTGGGGTATGGGTTACCAAATTTCCTCTTCAATCAATTGTTTTTTGGGCTTTGTGCATAGCCATGTTAAACATGCTATGGCCGACAAAGCATTAGCTTGTCGAGCTCCACCTTTGACTTTCCCTCTTGAGCGGAACAACTTCATTTTAATTAAATTAACTAATTTTAAGGAAATACTTTTTATTTTTTATTTTAATGAAATTTACAACTGTATTACATGAAAAATACAACAAGTAAATGTGACATTGTAACATGACGTACAACATGAAGAGAAACTACCCATTGGTAGAACTCAAATTAGAGGCCATCTTCTTATCAGACGCCTCGGAGGGTTATCAGGGATCGAGGAGGAAACAAGGTTTGAAACGAGAGGGTTCGAGTGTGCTACGTGTCGATTTGGTTTTTATAGATTTTAACGGGATGCCACTGGATAATTATTGATGATAATTATCCAGAATTAATTAATAAAATATTTGTTAAACAAATTATGTCATTTGACTGATTATCAATAAACCACATTGATAATCAGTTAAAGTTCGTTAAACAACAGGTCCTCGATTAACCAGATCTTTGTTATCAGTGATGATGAGTGCAACATCTTTGTACATTTACTCTTCTTGATTTCAAGCAAGCATTTGATCCTGTTAATAGAGTCCAGTTAACTTTGGCGTTAAATGAGTTTAGTATTTCCTTACCCACATACCAGACAGAAACGACTAGAACCGCCCGACTTTTTCAACTACTGCACCACTTACTTGACAAACGCTCTAAGCTTTCAATCAATTACAAACGACTCATCATCACTGATAACAAAGACCTGGTTAATCGAGGCCCTGTTGTTTAACGAACTTTAACTGATTATCAATGTGGTTTATTGATAAACAGTTAAAGTTCGTTCCCAGTATCCCGTCAGCCTAGCCATTATAAGGTTTGATAATATTTTGTAGACGACATTTTGCCATTTTTTATTTAGAAATGTTAATTAACAATAATGCTTTAAAATTGTATTGGTCGGTGTATGTGGAATTAAGATTTTCGTTTCCTCGATTATGTCTATTTCTGAAATAAAATATCTCGCTTCTTGTAAATTCTACACCTCACTATAATTATTGCTCGTGTGACAGTGACAGAATGTTATATTACTCACCCGATGTCCTAGTACTTTTAAAAATCCCCACAAGTTCCTCGTTTCCCCCCACCTTGGTACCGCTGATCTTGCTGGCTCTCTCTTTTGGTATTCCCCAGCACTACCAGTTCCTTTGCGTTTTCCTTCTGTTGATAGTCAGTGTTGTCATGTCAGTCTAAGGAATTACATCTCTTCGCCAACATCTGAGGTGTGTACACATATTTATTTTATTCAACATCTTGTTTAAGTTTATGTATTTATATGTTTTTATTCTTGTTCCTAATCTATGCCTCTTCCACCTGTTTGATTTACTGTGGTTTTATGAAATGTGAACCTTACTATATGAGACATAAAATTGAAGCGTAGACGAATTTATAATTCAAACTTTAGAAAAAAATTAAAGAGCTTATAGAGATCCCTTAAAGTATATTCTGATATATAAATAACAAAACACTTTACACATAATTACATTTTTTACTAACAGGTATTCAATAATATTTCTTAATCAACTATAACATTAAGTGGGATACTTGTACGTTTTAGCACTTCTATGGCCAATAAAACAATATATAATAATGATAAAACTTCACATTTGAATTATCAATCTTAGTACATTGTTTTCTTTCGCCGACGTTTCAGCTCTTCAAACCATTTCTAGGAAGAAAACCCCTTATTTTAAAATTAAAACAATTTGCACTAATTTGACTTTCACATTTTTTATAAAACACTAATAAAAACGTTAAACTAGGTGAATTAGCCAACATGTTTTTAATTTTAAATTAAGATTTTTATTTTCACTTACCTATATATGAATATATAGTAAAGGACTTTTGCGATCGTGAAAATTATCGAATCCTAGTTGTCAACGGAAATACACTTTTGCTGTCCCCTGAGTGCAAGTGACCAAGTTTTACAAAATAGTCTGTGTGTATGTGAACAGTCTAGCTCAAAAACGATAAGTCGAACGAAACTGAAATTTCGTATTTGTGGTTTTAAATGGCTAGGATGTTACAAAAACTTTTGTAACATCAGCTTTATATCATCGATTTAATACATTTTTACGATTATCTCGGAAACGGCTATAACGATAGCATATTTCGGCCTTTGTTCTGTGTTTGTGCAGAGATTATCTCTGTAATAGGTAGACTGATTACTTGCTTTCGTTTATTTATTTTATTTTATTTTTTGGGGGGTTTTCTACAAAATGCAGTTCCCTATGGGTAAGAGGAAAAAACTAGTTTTTCTATTGTAACTTTTTGTGTATTTCTACCTTATACATACTCAATCCTGTCATAAATATTGTTACAAGGAAATATATACAGATTTCCACTGAAAAATTAATTTTTTTTAAAAACATTATTAGAAAATAAAATGTATATCTATAGAGAGTAAAACAAAAAATAAATTACTCAAAATGTTCCCTTTTTGCCTTGACACACAGCCATTTAATCTCCGTGTCAAGTTATCAATAGCAGCACGCAGCACTTCTTGAGGAAAGCGCTCAACTGCTTGGACCAGAGATTGTTTGAGGCTTTCCAAGTTAGGGTGTGCTCTGTGGCATGTCATTCTCTTCAGTTCGGACCAAATCCGAAAATCTAGTGGATTGAAATCAGAGCTTCCTGAGGACCAATCGGAGGCAGAGATGAACTCTGGAATGTTCTTTTGCGGCCACTGCTGAGTTGACCTGGCCTTGTGAGCTGGAGCAGAATCCTGCTGGAAAACCAACTGGCGTAGAGCAAACAGAGTACGTTTTAGAGACTTGACAACAGGTTCCAAAGTATCGTCATGGTAGTGTTTAGCGGATGTTTTAACTCCTTTTTCACAAAAATGGAGCTTTGTGGTGCCATCAAAGCAAATTCCCCACCAAACCATCACTGAGGAAGCGTGATGACCTCTTTCCACTCTTCAAATGACTTCCTGGGCTTCTTCAGAGCTGTGTACACACTATCATTTTGGCGATTAAATTTTTCTTCAATTGTAAACACTTTCTCGTCGCTAAATTAAATGATTCGATAAAGACCATTGGTGTAATGGCCAAGTATCACTTTATATCTATCCGCTCTAATTTTTTTTTACGGAAGTGGTTAGCCTTTGTCCTGTCATTATTCGAAATGCACCCATCCTAAGGTCACTTTTTATTATGCGAAACATTGATCTAACAGAGATTCTCATTTCCCGAGACATGATTTGTTGTTTTCGAATGGGATTTCTTCTGATTGAAGCAGCCACTGCTCTCACTGCGTTTGATGTTCTCACAGTGCGGAGAGAGCCCGGTCAACGTCTGTCACATACAGATAGGGTCTCATTATATCTATTTGTAGTGCGGTACACGAACATACGGCTAATACTCAATGATTCCAAAGTGTTGAAAATCTCTGACTTAGGTTTTCCAACTTTGTGTAAGGCGATCACAGCTATTCGGTTTTCTTTATCACCCCTCTCAATGTATCTGAGCGAAAGAAAAATTCAATCAACAACAAAATCAAAGTTCAACTTTTGTAACAGTATTTATGGTAGAACTATGTTGATAAAAATACACAGTAAGTGAACGAAAATGACACAAAACTTTTTATATATTAAATATAGTTACTGCAAGCGCACAATTTTCTGATGCCACAAAAGGAAAATTAAGCCAAGGTCTTAGAGACTTAAGGTTATGAAATGTCATTTAATGACTTTTTGCAATAAAACGAGGATAAATACTGTACCGATAAATGCTACTACGATATTTAAGGCTATTAAATACAACATAAGAACAAAACAAAATAAATAAATAATTGAAATCAAACCAATTATTATAGAAAAAAATTCCCATATGAGGCTTGTTGACATATTTATCCATAATTTCAAAAGTACTTAGTGTAGGTTCAGATTAAAACCAGTAAAATATAGAAAAGAAATATTAATATTGTTTATTTTAAAAATGTATCTTAATAATTTCGAAATGATATTCATCTTTAAAGCATTCGGATAAGATTCATCAGTGTTTGAAAAAAATTTCCTTCGAAATATTGTCGACAGCTACAAAAACTATGATAACTTCAGAAGGGCTCCACCAATCCACACAAACATTAAAGACTTAGGGCTCGAATGACAAAAAACCGACCTCCCTTAACTAACTAGAACCAAATATATAAAATAAAAATTATTGAAAAGGTTTGACCCATTTACTGTAGTCTCTTCTTATAAGTATATTTTTGATGAAATTGAACTTATAACAACCTGTTTGAAAATTTCGATTATATTTATCGATAACAAAAAAACACACAGTAAGTGCACCAAATGGTGCGAACCCTTTATGTATCAAATATTATTACAACAAGGGAAAAATGCTCTGATTTCGCAAAAGATAAAATTGAATGATTTTCCGCAATAAACCGACAATATATTCCAAAAACAATTAAAGAAGAGAGATTCAAAAGTATCTTCCTGGAATCAACAAGTAGGTGGTTGACGTAACACAGATCTACGTCATTCATCAAATAATGGAATGATACATCTCATACTACGTTACTGTAGTAATTCTGTGTAACAATCTTGCCAATACTACATAATTTATAAAGCCAACCGAATTTGTTGTTAATACTCGATGAAGCAATAAATTCCATGAATGAAAACTAATTCCAGCTCCATGAATAGCAAACCACAAGTTCGCTAGCGCTGTTTTCCTGGTTGACGCGCATGCGTATTTGAACCATTCAGCTGACTCCAGGTCAGAGATATAAGGTCGCGTAGGGAGTACTGCACTAGGTGAAGTGACTGGTTCACTTTTATTATTAATTTATTTTTTCTTATTTATTTATTCTTTTAATATAATTTGTATTATTTCTCGGGAACAACATTTATAATTAGAATAAACACGCTAGTTAGTTTGACCCTGAATGAAACGTGATCCTAAAATACCGGCTATTTTTAAACTTACGCTATTCTTTTGTTTTTGTAGGCAAGTTTAACAGTAGATACATCTTCAATAAACTGAAATATAAGTCTCCAAAAATGGCAATTTTATTGAAAATTCAATTCATAATACAGAAAAATATAAAAACATTTTAGAAATAATTAAAAGTTTTTCTTTACAGAGTCAATCCAGTTGAGCTTACCCTATTTCAATTAATTTTTTCCTCAATATTTTTATTTTTGTAATTTTTTGAACAGATATTATTTATAATTTGATTAAGTTTAAGAAAATATATCTAAAGATGGTATTTTGGTAGATATGAAAACAAAATTAAAATTAAAACAGTACTAATACTATGTTCTATTGTTTCATTTCATATGAAATGTCCGTTTTTAATATATCAGAAATTCAATCAATTCTGTCACATCCAAGAACACTAGTAACAGTGATTGAGTAGCTCATTCATGACAGAGTAGCCCATTCATACTCCTTTCCAATAAATTAAACAGAAAGATAATTATACTGAAAGCAAATGTATATAAACAAAAAGAAAAACTAAACTAATCAATATAATTACTTAAATACATACATGTTTTTATACAAGATTTACAAAATTCATTCACTTATGATCTCCAAGCTAAGCCTTTCCTCCCCACTCTTGGAAGGAAAGGCAGGACTCTAGGAGATCCCAGCGCCTCTCAGTCAACCGCTTCAGATATCCAAATTAGTGGACTTTTGTTATTTACTACGTTAATGCTTACAGATTATAATGAGCCATTATTAATTCTTTCTTTTTTTATAGTATTAACTATCATTCCAATTGATTGCACATTGTTCAGCATGCCATCAAATATGAGCAGGAAAACACTCGATTTTTTTTTTTGATTTTTTTATGATTTTAAACTTGGACACTCGGCAGCCTAAGCTGCAAGAAACATTACTTACCATGGCTTCCGAGGAACGGTGTTGTAACAAACGGACCATTCGCCAGTAGTTTGAAAAAAAATATAGGTATCTGTGTGGAGGTGAATGGCAGGAATAATTCATTTCTTCTTTTTACGCAGAGGTTAAACCATTACATCCACACCGTACTGCAATGATATTCACATAATGCATAAAAAATTTGTCAAAAAACAATCTGCTTTGATTAATCTGAAGGAACTTATACTCTAACACGACAACGCCAGACCTCATGTTTCACGACAGGCAGTGAAGAAACTAAACGAGCTGTGTTACGAAGTCCTACACCCACCTTATTCGTCAGACTTATCTCCGACAGATTTCCATCAGTTCAGAAATTTGGGAAACTT